CTAGTAGGTTCCCAATGGGAAATTCCATTGGGACCAAGTAGCACTAAATTGGTGACTTAGAAACGACACTGTCAAGGAACGCTATGGACAGAGGAAACATGCAAGAGGAGGAGAGTTTAGTGTCGGAGATCGTGGATGAGTCTCCTCCGTCATACATTCTTTATTTAGAGGAGGAAAGCAGGGATGAAGATGTTGTGGAAGAGGACGCCAGGGCGGCAAAAGCTTGGTTTGGTGTAGAAGGCTTACAGCCGTACATGTTTGAGCCCTTGCCTCGCAACGCTGCCAGTTCTGTTAGCGCTACGCCTGCTGAAGACGCAGACGTCTATCCCCGTGAACACTGGGACGGAATTTAATGGGAAAGTAAATGATTCTTATTTCTTATTTCAACCGTTACGTTTATTAGCTGCGACATATAAATCAAGATGATATGACAGAAAAAGTTTGATTGACAGATGACCGTTGATATATGATTGGCTGAATTTAGGTGCACAAGCTGACGTATAACTAACTGGCCTGCAAAAGTTAACAAGAAACAAAATGCTTTTAAGACAGGATTTTTTTTAGAATAGAAATTTTCCAAATTTTGGAACAGTATCGTCTGATAAAGAGTACATTTATGTACATGTTTATGGTAGAATGATTTGAAATTTAAATATTATTTCCCTACGACTTTAAGACGCTGTTTTAAGATTACGGTCCATGTGAGGAAGTCTGTTTGCCCTTGCTCCGCTGGAGGGCCTAGCCATATTTTGCTGCGGAAATGAGGCAGATCATACAGAACTTATTCCCCAAAAGCAAGGTGCACTCCGGTCAGCAATGGATTGTCATCTAGCAGTGACTAAGACAATCACGACTGTTTTCATTGGTATTTTCCTCTAGAGAACTTACTGACATATTGATGATAACTGTAACATTTTGTCTACTTTGTAAGTCACTATAGAAAAAGGGTCTGCTAAATGCATAAACAACAAAAAGAGCTGCAAGATCTGCAGACACTTCTATTGTTTATGTGCAATAATTTTCAGCTAAGGAAAAATAAACTTTCTGTTATATGCAATTTTTCAATATGTTCTTGTAAATAAGTAAAAAAAAAAAAAATTGTTGTGTTTATGTTTGCACCAATAATCTTAAATAGCATTTGTTTGTCAATGTAGTATTATTCTGAAGAATTGCTACCTTAAAGATTTTGAACAGAGAATGAGATGAGTTGTCCATCATTTTACAAATCAACACATATGGTACCAGATCTTTAGGGATACTCTAGAGAGATTGTTTAAGGAAAGATCAAAGGACACATATTTTTTCTTCTTTCCATCCAAATCTCCCTCTGGGCAATTTGGATGAATAAATGAATGCCTAGATACTAGTATTAGCTTTATTTTGGATGCAATATATATTTTTCTCAACATACAGCGCTTGTTTTTTATTGATGTTCCTTGCAGGCTGCAGATCTCATAACCTCAGCTATGTATTAGTTGAATGTCACTGAATGGGGCCGTTGTTCTGTCACATGAGCATACCCCATCAGACCAGCATACTGTACCCATAGTCAATACGCATGCACAAGATGTCAAATTGGTGTTTATCCCTTTAGTTTTCTATGAAAAATAGACTTTAAGCAACCTCAACGTCCCATTAGTCATGTACAAAAAAAAAATAATTTAAGGTGACACCGCCATGCAATTCAAAAAGTAAGTAACTAAATCGTTTCTTTGTGCATGACTAAAGGGACTAAACGCCCATTGAGGCCGTTTAAAGTTTATTTTTCGTACAAAACTAAAGGGATAAACTCAAGGGATAATCGGGTATTGACTATGGGTATGCTCAGCTGCCAGAACACCACCTTAAAGCAGTCTGCGCTCTCCATAAACACCAGAGCTAACCTTAAGAAGCTGTTAAGAACCAAAACAGGTCTATTAACCTGGTCAGACATAATTTTGTTTCTCTGATGTAGAATTTTATCTATGTGGCCTTGACTTTACAAGAAAATATACTTTACTTTACATGAAAGTAAACATGTAAATTGCCACTGTGCAACGTTACCAGTTGCTCTGGAAGTTAGAGATCTATCGCCACGACTCGCTCTGGCTAAAAGTCACACAGAGCTGCTTTAATAACTTGCAGTAACATCTATGGTATTGTCCAATCCCCCTTGTTGTCTAGACTATAGAGCACGTCTGTTGCAGCTTTTCCTAAGTTGCAGTTATTTTTGCTACTTGCAAAATTTTTTTTTTGCTTGTGTATTACTATCAAACAGACAGTAGCTCCTTTGCACTTTGCCATTATCTGGGATTTCAGCATTTTTCCTTTCCATGTGTTTTTGTGTTGATCTCTTTTTGCCATTGTAGTATTTATAATTGCATTGCGTTTGCACCCTTCAGCCACTGTAAAAAAAAAAGCAAAAACATCTAATAATTCATAACTGGTTGCACAGCAAATGATAAACATATATTTTAAATGAATGTTGTCTTTTACTCTGTTGGGGCAACATTTGAATGGGAGAAAAACACTAAAATATGTCCATGGGTGTCCTGTGTTTGGACAATAAGGGAGGTAAACAATGAATTCACACAGCAGTGGTAACCACTATAGTGGAACCTGAACAGAGATTCCAGGATGTGCAAACTAAAGAGATATCCTTCAAAAAACAATAAAGGTAAAGTAAAACTAAAACAAAAATAACAAATACCAACTCCAGCAGTGGTTTTTAATAAAAATAAAAAAAAATCTAGAAATAAGGGCATGATATTGGGTGAAGTTTATATGTCTATCTCCTGATTTCAGGTATCTGATGTCTCTTCCATTTTCATTGCTCAGCTCAATAAAATCACAGCAGGTAGACCATTTCTATGTCACCATAATCCACCAGAGAGTTAACTTTTTTGGCCTGTTTACATACAGACAGATGACATGTTGGCCAGTGTCTTTTGAGCACGTGTGCACTTTCACATTTGGTGTCACAGTTTGATATTTTCGGGCCTGTATGACCTCACAGGCTGCATGTTTGTGCAGGTCTGTTTGCTCTCCGGCAAAAATCCCTGGTTATTTTGGCAATATTGTTCAACTTTGAACCCTGTCTCCTTAAATGGCGGATGGAGCTGTAGCTAATGTTTTGTCACCGGTGTGTCTGCATGAATCACCTTTTCAGGGAACTGTTTGGTTAAGAGCAAATTCTCATTGCAACATGAGCTGGGAAGTATTTTTATCATTCCTAACATCTATGTATGACAGAGAATAAAGAAAAAAAAATATTGTGTCCAAACATTAACTTTCTATTGTCTGGGTAATCCTTCCATTAAGATTCTTTCTTTAAGATGCCCATAATTGTGGCATGCACACCAGCCTCTCCTGCAGCAATCCACCTATTAAGCATGGTGCTGCCACCACCGTGCTTCACAGACTGGTTAGTTTTCTCATTAAGCTTCTATAAGGTAAGTTTTCCAAATAGCGTACATGGTTTTACAAGCAGTTCAATTTGAAATATGCATGTAAGCTATTCTCCACAAGCATTTTGAATGTTTGTGTGCAGATTGAATACCATGAAGTTCCCCAATAAGTCACAACCATAAGCGTATGCACCTTCTTTGCATTTGTGGCTTGCTTTTTATGCACATATAGATTTGCTTCTACTTGTATAAAAACCTGTTTCTGTGCGCTCATGATAACTTGTCACGTTGAGGGTGAACCTAACCTGGAAAAATAACTGCTATTTGCTACTTTTCAGGAAATATCACCTCTCAATAAGAGCCGTTTTCATACTAGTTGTGTCTAGGAAAAGCTTTACTGCACTGGCCTATAAAAAGAAAAAAAAAATTACATTTCTGGATAACTTCCTTATACTTTATTTTCTTAGTTTTAAAACGAATGGTAAGTGTCAAATTTGCATCATCTTGAAAAACTATTTATTTTGCTATGTGGTGAACAACAAGTTGGTGCAGGACCGAGTCCAACCACAAAGAAATTTATTTGCAAGGTGAACAATATGGCGTCCACCAATTTTCTGTCAAGATGTGATGCCTGGGACTTCCGGTTGCTTCTGGGTCCTTCCAATCAACCTGGAATGTTGTCAGAGAAAGCTAGAGAGCGGAGAGGAAATTAGGTTGTTCGGTGCCCAAAAAAAAAACAATTTTGCCCATAAATGGGTTAGAGGATCATCACTACACTGATGTGTACTGAAATGTATGCGTTCTAAACGGTACATTTGATGTGTTTTATGATACTTTCATACCGCAGGCGATTGAAGCAGCAGGTTTACATGCTAAGTCGATGGTTGCCGCACATCAAATATGGAAAGCCAAATGGTTCAATGACATGTGATTTCTGACACATAGAAGTCACATGATTAACGTGTGTTATGCGCGATGTCAAGGTGTTTCCTTCGCCTTTCAGTCTTTTACACTTAGTTGCCACGCTGAGAGCGCATTAAGAACACGTCGACTAAACGTCAATTAGCGTTGACAACATGTCAAATACAGATCGACTACACATTAAGGTGATTATGAGCCATTCAGCCACTTGACCAATTTTAGCTGGTAGTCGTCGCTTATTTCCCATTGGCTGCTGAGTAATAGTTTTTGTTTTGGAAGTAATGGCTTCTTCCTTGCTGAGCGACCTTTAAGCCTGTGTGCAGGATCTGTTTCAAGGGGGGAAAATGACACTTCTTCATAGCTTTAGACAGCATTTTCACAAAGTCTGTTCTTCTGCTGGCCATTTGCAGAGTTCAAGTCAATACATGATCATCTTCGCAACACAGGACCAACTTACCTAACTGATCATCATGTTCAAACTATTTTTTCTTACACTTTCAAGCAGCTTTTTGAGCAGATTAATGCACCAAATTTATACATCTGGAAATCTGTCCAGGTAAGTTAGTTTATTAAAAGTAAGAAAATATAATTTTGGAATAATTTTTCCACTGCTTTTTGTCCAATGACAGATCAAGACACACCCAGGTATTGTGCAACCATAGAAGAAACAAAATAAAGATAAAAGCTGTTACATAGATTTGACTGTTTTATTACAGATTTAGTCTCATAAACAGTTAAAAAGCACCTCAATCAGAAGATACAGACTCATTCCCATTCCATCACTACTACAGTTATTAAGGAGTGTGCTTAAATATCACAAAAACAAGACATGTAAAGTTTAGGGATGAGAGGTGCAATTAGCTATGTTCTTTACCTACATTCACTTCATTGCTCATCTACTCTCAACATATTTAACATCAAGCTTCTAAACCAACAGACATTTCCAGGTCACACACATAAAATGAGCAAATATAGTGTAACATAAACAGATGTGCGTAAACTGCTGGCAGTCTGACTTTAAGCAAGCTCACAGCTCAGTCTACAGCAGCACTTAAGTCAAGACGATATCACAGCTTATGTTTAAAAGGAGCGCCGCATAGCTGCAGCGTGCTACAAGCTGCAAACTAGTAACTAACGCGGCAAATGAGCCGGTTCTCATCACTGCTGATTGAAAAAGCTGCTTTCAACAGTAAAAACTAAAAACAGCATTATAGTACTTGAGTGCAACAGTTTTTTAGCCCTTTCAGACAACTCCGGTCTCCTTTTAGTCGTGTTACAATCTTAAAATCTCATAACTTCTAAATAAATAGAACATACAGATTTATATACATTGCAGTCAATTGGAGAACCTTAGCGGTGGAGCTACAACTGTTCTGCATGATAAACCGTAGATTAGCTATTCTGAAATGGTTCGGTCAATAAAGATAACACACATGAATGGAAGCGCAGTCTCGTTAGGGGTTAGTCTGAGGGTAATTTCCATTACTCTGGATAAAAATTGGCATTGTCTGTTAAAAAAAACAACAACAATGATGTGAAGACATGGGAATCTTTGAGGCTTTTGTATTAAATTCAATAAAAAAGAGTTGGTATCAGAACAGTAGGACCAATACTGAAGGTGGTAAATGTATTATTTGGCATTTTACTTTTTTTTATAATGACTAAATGCACAGCTTGTTCTTTATGCATTACACAACAACAATGTAAGGCATGAATATTTGTTGGAAGAACTCAGAAATGAACAGTTGCAGTGCAGTAGGGGTGTAACACCATCTCCTCATATTAAATAGTAAACTTCCTGTGAGAGTAAAGTCTTAATCAGTCCAGCTTCTGTCAGCAAGAAACTTGATCGGAAAAAAAAAATAATAAACTAAACAAAAACAAGCACAGAACAACAAACTGCTAAACTCCTATTCTGAAATTATAAAGTAATAGAGTAGTTTAGAAGTCCGCTAGCAAAGACGTGATAAGCTAGTCGACAAAACTCTAGTAAAGGCTTTGTTGGTGCTTCTGTATCAACTTTAAATAATTTATCTGCTGCTTTTTCAGTAGAAAAAAAAAGAAAAAGTGGCTAAGTGGTCAAAAAGAAAATAGTAAATCTCAAGCACTGAAAGAACATTAATAACCCTTAGATGCTAACTTTAGCTAACCGCTAAAGATAGCAGCTCCCTTTTGGCGCTAATCTCAGGGACACATTAGCATTTTTTGCCTAAATTTAACCCCTTCTAACTCCTAATACAAAATATTAAATAATTAGATATGAAAATTTGTATCAAGTAGAAGCATATTAATCTTTTTTTCAGTTTTAATGACACCTTAGCATCAAATCTACAATGTATTAGCAGTCAAAGTTGGATTTATTTTAGGCTGGATGAGTTTCCCTTTTATCTAATAGCTGTACAGTTTAGGTTGATGAAACATTTGATCTAGAAGTAAAAATACACTTATCTTGTGTACTTTAACTTGTACAGTATCCTAAACGCATTAGAAGAGCATATAGCTAGGATCTGCTTGTGAGTTTGGTCTTAATAATTTGATCATTTCTGCAGGTACAAAAGAAAATTAAAAATCCTGTGCAGATTAAAGGGGATGAAAGGTGGTGGATACGGTTTAATAAAGCGGAGGTTGTTCATTACATAAGAGCACTTTCTTAAAAATGCAAGCTTGCAAAAAGAAAAACCCAACTAAAGGTAGAAACATGACAGAGTGCCGTTTGGCTTCGACCCCTTCGACATCCTAAAGATTCTCTGCTTTTCTCAATCCTCTCTATTCATTTATGACTTTATCATAAACACTCTAGATTATTTTCTTTTCTTGTAGACCATCACTGCACTGCACACGCCCCACTGGGCAGGAAGTCCTGCACATACACTGCCACAGCTTTCGTGAGGTAGGTCATGCTCCCAAAGCGTCCACTGGGGGCGCTGTCGTACAGCAGCCTGCACACTCCTGTGGACGGGTCCTTTTCCAGGATGTGTTCTTCTGCTCCCAGGTCCTTCTGCAGGACAGAAAACAGGAAACCTGTCTGATACCGGGGCTAAGATCTGGAAGCATGTGTTTGGAGCTGAGTCTGCGGATTCTGACCTGATCTTTGTAGAACATGTCGTTGGCCTGGTGGACGATTTTCTCCACATGAATGATGGAGCCGATGCTGGGGATGTCCACGTCGGCCAGCATGGTGAGGACCAGGATGGCCTCAACCAGGAGCTGTCGGTACTCAGGCTGGGGGACGCGGTTCAGCACCGTCTCCACATGGACAGAGAACTTTATCTCTCCAGGGGTCATCTGGAGAGAGCAAAGAGGGAGGAGATTTAAAAAGTAGAGCCAAAACAAAATGTTATTTGGAAGCTACATCACAATCTTGCTTGAAAAATAAAAATAAAAATTTTGTTGTCTCAAAGAATAATTTAATGAATCTCAAACACTGTTCTAAAACAAGTTAACTTTGCTCATCAGCCATCCTAAACCTAAACATTGAAAACTGACTAGTATGGAAACATCATCTCTAAGGATGCATCTTTGATACGGTCTGTAAAATAAAGATCTGTGATGCAAAATAAATTAAAGCCGGATTATTTTAATGAAGAAATAAAAGTGAAAAACAAAAGAACTGTGACTAGGGTCCATCTCTCCAGACATTTTACCACATAACTTTGCCACTCAGTGAATAATTAACCAAATAAAACAGTTTGCCTTGTTTCTGAAAAATAATAAAAACCAAAGATTATTTAGAATTCCCTTTTTTTTAAGTGATTATAAAACAGATAAAAGGGCAGTGTGCTGATTTCTCACCTCTCTGGTGGTTGAAGATGGCAGGACAAAGCCCTCTATGGACAGACCGTGGCACTGCAACAAAATCAACAGTTTATCTCTGCTTATAATATAATACAAGTATTAATTTCCAACAATTTTACTGAGTCCTTCTTGGCATCTAAAATGTGCTTATTTGATCCAATTCAGTTGGTTTTATAAAACACATTATATGCTGCCATAGTTGATTAGTTTGTTTTAATATAACAGACTGAATCCCGGCACCATGATCTGCTGATTTAATCTAAAGTGGTTTTAATGAATACTTAATTTTTCTTAGGCTGAAAAAATAAAAATAATCCCACATGATTTAAAGCAAAATTGTGTAACTTTTGATGAAAGTAGTGTCATTTGAGATATATTAAATGATTTATCAGTTCATGTGACCCAGAGCGCTGCCTTATCATTAGACATGGTCAAGCTTAAAAAGTTTAGATCTGGCAAATGTAGATTCGCCTCTCATCTCAGACTCTTCTTCAGTTCTAACTAGTGGTGGGGAGCACTGAGATTAATATACTGTAGTTTTAACAAAGATTTAGGGGAAAAGCAAAAGGCGGCTTTGATCCCTTCTACTGGGTTGGCCACGGAGGTCACATGGGAGGTGTTAATGGTCATTAGGGAGTTCTGACGAGTCCTTAACTCCCCCATCAGAGTGTGATGTCTCAGTGAGGTTTATTTCCAGATTAACAAAGATGGCTTCTTTAAGCCCTCTCTCAAACCATCTGTCTTCCTTGGCCAGAAAGAAACTGAGGAAACCTCTTGGATGAGAGGCGAAACTTCTAGAAAACTTCACGTCCAGTTGCCTGAATTGAACTTTTCAAGCTTTTGCAGCTCACTTTAACAGAGTTGCTTTACATCAAACTGCCCTGAAATCCAACTTCACAGTCTCTTTTACCATAGTTTCCATCAGATTTTGTTTTAAGAGCTCGATCCTAGCTGGGTCATGACTTTAGGCACCAGCTCTGTGACAACGACTTTAGCTCTGCTTTCTTCGCATTTAGAAAAGGCACCTGTAATCATATTTGACTTTATTGATATAACTGACCGGCTAAAATGTGGGACTTTGCTTTGTTCGATGTCCCCAAATAGTCACCCTAGTAAGTTATAAAATTACCAGTAATATAGCCCACAGGACGTCTGACTGGGCATAGAGGAATTGAAAAACTTTAGGTTTGGACAAGGCACAATCGTTGATGTGTTCTCTAGAGAAACTTTGACATCAGATTTTGTTTTCCTCTTTTTCGATTGCCAAAAAGGAGAATATATGCATCTAAAATAAGAAGTTAAACCTAAATTAGGTGAATCATATATAATGCATCTGGTGTGAATAATGTAGTAGTTTGTTACGTAGTGCTGTCACACGCATAACCTGCGAATAGCATGTGCGCCTGTTGCTTTGCTGAGCTTGCACGCCATAATGGGTTGGTGTATTTTCCCCTTGAGGCTTCTCAATCTGCTCCTCTACAGTGTTTTAAGGGGCATTAGACCTATACCTTCCAGGTCTAGCACTCCTAGTGGCTAAAGTTTGCTTCAGAGAAAATCATTCATTGAATATGAAACCCTCAAGCAGACCTTCTGCAGGATCTTCCACACTTTCTGGTAGAAGCCAACTGGAACCCTGTTGAGCGCGCCGTCCAGACGCCTCCTGCGCAGCCACTGTCCGTGTCTGGAGTCCTTGGAACCGGGGAAGCTGTCTGGAACGTCAAGAGACTCTACAGACGGGAGCCTGTACCTCTGAAGAGTGAGGGTGACAAAAGACAAAGTCTCTGTAGATCTGGTGAAATGGAGCCCTCTGCTTTTTTAAAAGCACAGTGTTCAGACATCTTCACAAAACCTGACCTGATCCGCTCTGGGAGGAAAGAAAACAAGCATCCTGCAAGTATATCCTTTTATTTTACCAATTGAGATACTCCAATGCTAAAGGCAGAGGTGGGTAGTATTCACATTTATCACAGTTTTGACACAAACATAATTTTGGAGCCTTTTTCACTTGAGTAATACAGTTATGAGGTATTGCCACATTTACTTTAGTAAAACCTCTGGCTATCCTACCAACAATGATTAACCACACTAAACAACCTTATTTATTCAGTGAAATGCAGCATACACAGGGAGTTTTCCCTGTTCTAACCAACTTTAATTGCAAGTATTTTCTTTTAATTACAAGTTTTATTTTAGGATAAATATATTTGAAGGCGTTTTCTCTGGTAAAGTTAATTATTTTCCAATAAATAATTTATTGGTCTCATTTTGTTGTCTTTAAAGCGTCAGAATTTGGACATAACTTCAAATGTTTTTGTATTTCGCTAAATAATCCTACATGGTAAATCAGATGGTTTTATTCGTTACTTATTGCTACCCTTATTAGTACTGTATTCACCATTTTTGAGTTATTTCTTGGACGGCTACCCTTTCTTAACCTGGCAGTGGCCATATTGATATGTGTAGAACTGTTCTTCATTATCGATCAGTCTGTCCATGAAAAGGCAGGACGTTTGGTACAATACTTTGAGCTGATTGGGTGATGTGCCACCTTCCATGATACGCTTTCAACCAATCGTAGCAGGGAATCGTGACGTTTCAGCAGAGTAAGCCGAAAAATCTAACTTTTTCTAATCCATCTAATCCATCCATCTACAAATGCACAAAGTGCTTCTCTTTGCTTATTTTTAAACAAGAAATTGTCGCTATTTTAGCTAAAACTGAGTCAACTGCAGCGGGTGAGTCCTCCAACGTATCCATGTTTGTAATGCCCCAGCAAGGCCACTCTTTGACTGTCGTCATTGCTACATGTCCCGCCCCAAAAAACACTGCTGGCATGTCATTGGTCCGACTCGCTGGTTGTTAAGAGATGGACGTATTTGACAATCCAGCTTATAGCGCAAGGTTAACTCTTTTAATTATGTGAAAATATGTGAAGGTGGTAGAAAGTTGCTAATCTTTTACATTTTCAAATTGTCTTTAGCATCTAATACTAGTGATTAGCACAGTTAGCATAGGTAGAAAATATCTTACTCAAGTAAAAGTTTTGTGTTCTACCCACCTCTGTCTAAAGGCGATGATGTCTCATTGATTGTATCGATGAATGAGGGAAGTTTCATTAACCAGATCACTTTACTAGAAGGAGCACTACATTTTGCCATTTTTCACTATATTGTAAAATAACAGCTTCAGATGATGAAAAGGAATGTGATAACTAGGAATAGGCTTATCATAATTATGAATTTAGTCTGTAAAGATGTTTTTTCATTCAGATTTTTGGAAGCTAGAAACTACAGAAGCAATTTCAACTTGCAGCCTTGTTACAGTTGTCTTCTAGTGGCCTTAAAAGAGTGCAGTGATGGAATTATAGGCTCCTAAAACACTACTCCCAAAATGTCAACCATAAAAAAAAAACAAACAAACAAAACAAAAGTGAATAAAAAAAATCCACAGGTCTCCGTGGAAACAAAAGAAACTGTCAAAAAAAGGCAAACGTTTACCCCAGATTCGATGCTTTCTATGTCCATTGACTGAGCTCGGGCGCCCTAAGAGTCAGAACAAAAAATGGACAAGAGAAACAAACAAACACATGGACATAAGGGATAAAGCAAATAAAAGAAGGTCATCAAAAAAGGACGGATCGGATCAACCCCAAAGCCAGAGGACTCACTACATGCATGATTGGACACCAGAGTAGGAAAAGACGGAGATTAACGGGTAGTTGATCAAGTCCCCGGCAGGAATTAGTCGTTATTCTAAAAAGAAATTCACTTTAAGGGAAGTTAATATTCACCAATTTAAAGACAGTCAGGCAGCAGACAATATGAGAGTTAATCAACCTGTTAAAAGGTCAAACCGGTTGGTTTTATTAAAAGAAGAAAACAAGCATTAGGATGCACCAGACCATCCTTTAGGCTGGAAGAAAAAATCAACAGCTTTGCAGAGAGAAATTAGTAATATCTGATTAACCAACTGCCAACAGTCATCACCTTCTCAGTAGGCGTCAATGGCTGGTCGAACTGAAATTAAGAAACAGGATTAAAGGTTTTGATGTTGTTATGCTGGTTCTTCAAATCAAAAGCCTAACCTTTCTGCTTACTTCAAATCTTAAGAACAAGATGAAAGATTGGAGGTGGTCATAGTCAGGATGGTTTATTTACATTTTAACTTCAAATGCTTGGATGAGTTTCTAGGTTTATTCCTTAGCACCGATGTTTATAAAAAGGCAAAAATCATACGTTTTTAACCGTCTTTCGCATCAAATACTAGCAATTAGCACAGTTAGCCCCGCTAACTGAGAAAAACTATGGAGTCCGAGACAAAAAATATATATTTATGAACAAACTTTGGCATATAATGCTAGTGATCGGCATAGTTAGCGTTGCTAACAGAACAATTGTTGTGACAGAGAGATTCAATGTTTTCTAAATTGTCTTTCTTACAATTAGCATTGGAGCATAGTTAGCATGGCTAACTGTAAGAATCATTGCTGTAGAGACGATGGCTCCAGTTTCAGTTCCAATTTTCACATTTCGTATCTGCCTCTGACTGCCGCCCAATGCTCTTTGCACCGGTTCCTTAAGGTGCAACCCCCTGCAGGTGGTGGGCCAATGGAAGATGGCCTTCAGTCACTCGTTCAAGCTTGGCCTGGTAGGGTTCTGCAATAAGGAATCCTACCACCAGGCCTAGCCTTATCGCTTGCCTCTGTTTTTTCTTGTCATAGGGGCTTTTAAGTCTTCATGTCAGACAAGAGTTCTCTGGAGCAAAAAACTGTTGAGGTATGTCTGTTCTTAGCCTCACAGGCTCCAAACGAAGGTTATGAGAGATAAGAATGAGTTACACAGCATCATTCATGGCATGAAGGGGAAGACTGTTGTTTTGAGGAGATCCATCTGGCCAGTGAAAGATATATTAACCTTACAGGGAACGGCCCTGATGAACTCAAGTTGTTTTACCTACAAATGTTCAAGTGTGAGAAAGTTCTTTATGCAGGGGGTGGGTTGGTTCCCCTGGGGGGAGTGTGTGTGTGTGTAGGGATTTTGCTGTATAAATGTATGCACTGAGGTTGCCTCAGTCAGAGCCCCATCTCTCCGTCTGAGGAGAGTAAATACATTTGACATTTTTTTTCATGCAAGAAATGCCTCCGTCTAAGCTTCCTAACTCCACAGTTCCTTTCTCAAATGGAGGATTTTAAATATCAAAGGGTCTTCTTCACGAGTGGAGAATGGAGCGGAAGATCAGCAGACGGAGCGGTAAGGCAGCTGCTTTAATGAGGATAACGCTATGCTCAGCCATGGTCATAAATAAGGGTTTGGACTGAAAGAAGGAAATCCAGGATCTAAGCGGCTGAAATGAGCATTCTTTACAGGGTGGCTGGGGACTAGCTTAAAGATCTGGTGAGGAAGAGGCTCAAAGTAGAGCCACTTTTCCACATCTAAAGGAGTCAGCTAATGTCGGTCAGACATCTTTTTTTTTTGGATAGCTCCCTAGACGGCTCCCTGAGGAGGTGTTCCAGGTACATCTGACTCCAAGGAGGCATAGGGGACAGCCCGGAACATAATGGAGGGAACATGTATCTCAGCTGAACCTGGAACACCTCAGGTTGACCTGGAGGAGGTGGAATGGGGAGAAAGATGCTTGGGAATCTCTGCTGACCCCTGAACCCGGTCCTGGATAAGGAGAAGGCAACAACTACGAATACTCTCTTTAATGTGGCCTTTTTTCCCCAACCTAAATCAGTAGTCTAACTGTGTTGGTTGATTTCTTATTCATATAAATGACTCACATCTCCTTTCTGTTTTTCGCTTCCCATGCACTCCCTAAGTTCCAGTATATCTGGAGTCTTTGCATGGGTTAGGTGGCAAGCACTTTAAAACAATCAAATCTGATACTGCATTAAATATATGTTGCTCCCATACCTTCATTTAAATTATATTTCATATAAGCCTTTTTCACTGAAGGGCCTCTACTAACTTATTATTGAAACAAGTGTTTCTGACTTGTTTTTAACAAGGGCTCAAGAAATGTTTTGTGAGAGCCATTCAAAATATTCAAGAAACCCTGCCTCATTAGCGGCAAAATAACATCAGGGGAGGCCGAGGACTCTGGACGGACTCAGATGAGTCAAATTATAATCAAGAGTTATGGATTCAGACTAAACTCAAATGCCATTTTTAAATAACCCTTAATGTATTTGTGATTCATTCAAACAGATCTATGACTTTACGGCCCGAATAAACACAGACTCTGTGCAACAGAGATTCAACACCAGTTCCTTCAGAAAGTGGGATTACTTAATCAAATGTGAAAATTACAGTAATTTTCTTCCATTTAATCTTAATCAGGGCGTGAAATAAAAATAGATTCCCATCTTTAATTTCTTTCTTTTAAAATCACCTTTAGTGAATCTATTTTCTCCCAAGAATTATTTGTTCAATTTGCACCCTTAAGGTGAATTAACACCCAGTGAAATAATCGGCATCACCTTACTGGGGTCCATCATAGACAACCTGCGCTCCAGCTGTAAAAAGCACAAAAGTCCAGTTCACCACACCGTTTACCATAAAATAATCTTATCCTAATCTGGCTCCCTCCAGATTAAAATAGCCTTAGAGTTAGACTCTTTGTGTCAGTGAACTTCTGGATGCAGGTTGGGTTAAATATGTCCAAGTTTCCCCCAGATCTCCTGAGCCCCAGCTGCCTACCATCTTCATGTCGCTCTTCAGCTTACTGATGCCCGCTCTCTCGCTCTTGGTGGCTCCTGCGTTGCCTAGGTGATGGATGGAGATAGCAGGACTGACCCCAGCATCCACCTCCCTTACTGTGAAGAAACCAAACATATTCTTTCATTTCACTGCATTCCTGCATATTTTTCATTTAAACAAATCCAGACAAATCTTCCAGTGCTCACTGAATGTTTGAATTTAGTAATAGATTTATAGTAGATATTTCTAGAGAAGTCAGGATTTAAACAAAGAACCTGCAAAAGCTGGAAGGATGGAAGGAAAACAGGGGAGGGAGGAAGGAAGACGGGGGGAGGGAGGAAGGAAAACAGGGGTGGGATAGAAGAAGGAAGGAAGGAAGGAAGGAAGGAAGGAAGGAAGGAAGGAAGGAAGGAAGGAAGGAAGGAAGGAAGGAAGGAAGGAAGGAAGGAAGGAAGGAAGGAAAATGGGGGGATGGAGGAAAAAGGGGTGATAGAGGTAGGAAGGAAGGAAGGAAGGAAGGAAGGAAGGAAGGAAAATGGGGAGGGAGGGAGGAAAAAGGGGGGAGGGAAGAAGGAAGGAAAACAGGGGAGGGAGGGAGGGAGGGAGGGAGGAAAACAGGGGAGGGAGGGAAGAAAAAGGGGGGAGGGAAGAAGGAAGGAAGGAAGGAAAACAGGGGAGGGAGGGAGGGAGGGAGGGAGGAAAACAGGGGAGGGAGGGAGGAAAAAGGGGGGAGGGAAGAAGGAAGGAAGGAAGGAAAACAGGGAAGGGAGGGAGGGAGGGAGGAAAACAGGGGAGGGAGGGAGGGATATTTTTTATATCATCAGCTGTGCCGCTTTATCAGAGACCTAAAATCCAAGATTTGCTTCAATGCCATCTGAACCAGGCTGATGGTCAAATAAATCCTATTGAAGAGGTCTCACCTCCACAGCTTTATGGGGAGCTTACATCCCTCCTCATAACAAAGATAAATACAAAATGGAGCTGGATTGATACTTGATGCTGGAAGGACAAAGCTGAAGCACAGACTTCCCAGTTATACCCAGAACTCATTCCTGTCACCAAAATAAACTTGTAATTTTGAAGAACTTTGAAGAAATCTTTTACCATCCTATCAATGTTGTATTTAGGGCTGCAACAACGAATCGATAAAATCGATAAAAATCGACTTTTAAAAGCGTTGGCAACGAATTTCATCATCGATTAGTTGTGTCGCGCGATTATTGCGTCATCCGCCACGCCGTCATCACTGCCTCTTGACTGAAAGAGGAAGAAAAAAAAATATGGCAGAGCGAGTCAGCGTCGCAGGTGCAGTGTTGCCAACTCAGCGACTTTTCAGACCCCTCCAGCGACTATTTTTCAAAAAAACGACTAGCGACAAATCTGGCGACTTTTTTCGGTGTCACTGGCGGCTTTTGGAGACTCTTACGTGAAAGCATGTATCGTTCCTACTCTGCCGTGGGGCGCCTCCCCCACCCCAACCGCGTTTTCCCGCAGGAGTCCCTCTCAGCGCTGCAGTCAGAGCCTCAGCGTCCAGACTGCAAATGAAGCGCGCATGCACCGGGATTGACGGCGCAGATTGATCACAATAATTAAAATAGCCTGCGCTTTGTAAAGCGAAAAAAGTGATAACATGCAACTTTTTTCAAAAGAAATTAACATGGCACGGAAGCACCATGTTTGTTTGGTTTTAAAGTGGGGAAACGTTACGTTAGTTTCTCAGGTAGCTCATCTGATGCTTTCCTTACCGTGTTAGTAGGTTACAGACAGTGATAAGGTTGGCTACTTATTTTACCTTTAATTTCATTGGAATTAGCTTAATGAGGGTTTACATTTACTTTATAAATAAATTAACTTGCACATTATGAGGGCTTTTAAAGTTTAAATCTTCTGGCGAAGATAAAGTAAAGAAGATCCTGCAATTTATGGAAGTAAAGCAGAATAAAATCCAGCAAGATCAGTAATATGTCAATTAATTATCTGCCACATTCCCATGTAAATATCTGTCTTTGGAGGATGTGTGTTTTAGCACCCCTAGTTCTCTCATTTTTATTCCAAATACAATTTATAATTTGAATCACAGGGCTATTTTTATCTCTATGGTTCAGTATTTTCTCAAGTAGCAACTTTAACTGCTATACTTTCCTGTCTTAAAAGGCAGAACTCTTCTAGTCTAAAAAAACTCATTTGTTGAAATGGGGGGGCCTATTGTTTGAACCCCTTAGGGGCTTTTAAAAACAAAAATGTCTTTTTTTGCACCTTATGAAACAAAGTAGCCTATATTTTGTGGATGTACAGCTACATTTCTCATGTAAGTTTGCGTAGTTTTAACACAAACATTTATTTTTCATATTGCACCAGTACAGTTAATGAGCAACCTGTACTTGTGTGCTTGTTTGTTCTGTCTAAAATGTTTATTTTGGAATAAAGAGGTAAATATAAAAAATATTTTTTGTCTGATTCATCGATTAATCGAAAAAATAATCGTCCGATTCATCGATTTTTAAAATAATCGTTAGTTGCAGCCCTAGTTGTATTATAAATATAAAGTAACTCTTGCAGATTTTGTACAGCTGTGGCTCCCCAGCCTTGTTTTGTTAATCCATATCAGAGATGTTTCTAAACAAACAGGAAATGACGTCTCACAGAAACCTGGCTCTGGAAAAGGGTATTAGGAAGGGATTTGCAGATGTAGGTATTCAATTTCTTTCTGTTTATTTGTTCAATATGACTGCTGCTGGCAATTTTCTTTAATTTTCTTGGTATTCTTATGTTGCACATATTGGAAAACTAGACACACAATGTTTGATTTCAATTTATCAGCTTTAGTGACTATTTAAATTAAAACAGAAACTAAAAAGTAATGTATTGAACACGAGGGGAACTCTCAGTAGAGGTGTGAAATGTGGATGTGAGGACTGACCGCTGCGCTGCACTCCAAACTCTTTCCCACTCAGGATGTGGTGCAGCAGATTCTTCAGCTCGGACGGACTGAGACTCGTCAAACTCTCCGTGGCCTCCTCTCCTGCACAGAAACCAGTTCAGGACAGCCAATCAGAGAGCTCTAGCAGTTAATATCAGCTCTAACAAACGTAGAAGTCCCTATTAAACTCTGATCCACCAGTAAGATCCTCACATCCAGAGGTTTATTTGTTAGAGCCCCACCTGAGCAGTTGAGAGACTGAGCCAGTTCAGTAGCCATAACCTGGATAATGAGACCGATACGCAGCCGGAACATCTCGCTAAACAGACTGGGTTGGGTTCTGATGCTCATTGCCAGGTACACCATGATCTCCTAGGAGACATGGCAGGATAGAGTGCTCTATTAGTAGCGGTTAAAAGAGATCTATATGATTTTGTGGGTGCGGGACGTGGTTACCCACCTGGGTGAGGATGGCCACGCTGATGTTGTTGTCGCTGGCCTCGTCGATGAGAGCAGCTAGCTGGTCCGGAGGGATCGGGGCCGTGATGGTTTTCTCCCTCGGCTCAGGAGGGAGACCCACTGTCAGGTGCTTCTGGTGCGCCAACAAATCAGAGCACGCCTACACAATGATGTGGAGATACATTTGAATACATTAGTATTTTCCACAGTCTTATTTTTATTCATTGTAAAATACAGAATATTATAACTATAAAGTTATGGCAGATATTGCAACAGGATTTAAATATTGAACCTGTACATCACAGAAACTGGTGGTAAAGGAGGAGGGCATAAAGAAAAAACTGAAGTGAAAACAAAATTTGGTAGAAAGTAACAAGCGGACAGAGAATGATGGACACTTGGAAGGAAAGGAGATAAGGTGGTAGGCAGAAAGAGAAGCAGGAAACAGGAAAGAATGAAAAAAGAGGCAACATTTAGATAGTAGAAAAGGGCTTAGGGTTGTAAAATAATTGACTTTTGATTCATTGTCAATTAATGGATTAAAATTTATTCTATCCAATTAATTTATAAGGTCCACTTAAAAGGAATTTCTATCTATCTATCTATCTATCTATCTATCTATCTATCTATCTATCTATATATACCGTATTTTCACGACTATAAGGCGCACTTAAACGTCTTTTTTTCCCCTCAAAATGTGCGGTGCGCCCTATGGTGCGGTGCGCCCTATGTGTGTTGTAACTGCGACTTTTGAGACCACCTCATTGAGGAGATGATGAAAGAGTGGCTGAATGTAAGGAGACCAGGTGTTTTTTTTTTCCACTCATCACCATCGCTGTTAATATGTAACTCCATGCGTGCCCATCTCACAGCTGATGTGAAAAACATGGGGAAACAAATTAACCCTGTGCTCGCTGTTCAACCGCTCGACATCGGTGTGAACCGGACCCAGCAAGTGCAGCAGAAGCAGCGAGTTTACATGCAAAGTCAATGGTTGACGCGCGTATAAGGCTGGGTGGCTCCGTATGGATGCGTGGCTGAGGCAGGTGTATCTGAGAAGACTAGGTGTTTTTTTCCACGCATCACCATTGCTGCGTGCCCATCTCACAGCCGATGTGAAAAAAAAGGTGAATGAAATGAACGCTGTGCTCGCCGTTATCCCGGGGGTCTGACAAAGGAGCTTCCACCGCTCGACATCGGTGTGACGCGGCCGTTCAAAGTAAGGCTGCGAGCGGCGTGGGAGCGATGGATGACAGACTGAGACCACAGTTTCAGGAAAAGTGGGAGGCAGCGCCGGGCAAGTTACGCCACCGTTTGCGGATGGATTGTAGATGCTTGGACTAACGTATCTGCTGGCTCTGTTGTTCAAGCTTTTGCAAAAGCCGGCATTATTTCTGAGGAGCTGCGCTGCACGGAAAGTGACTGACAGCGCAGAAGGGGAAACTGGCATGTCGGATTTAGCGCAGCTGTTTAATTCAGAAACAGAGGATGAGGACTTTGAGGGGTTTGATTAATACTCTGTAATAAATACTTGAATAAAGCACAATCATACTCAGTTTTGCTCCCGCTGTATTTTTCTACCTGAAAACTTAATTCAACAGCAGCCTATGGGCCGCGGGGCATACGGGCTCACCTCCGCAGGTGTTTTTTCATCTAAATAATCTAAATCTTTTTAAGTGAGAAAGTCCACCTGAAAATTTAATCATTGCAGTCAGTTCATCCAGATTATTATCCTGCCTATGTTTTAAGTTAATTTATGCGTCAATAAACGAAGAAGAAGGGGAAACTGGCATGTCGGATTTAGCGCAGCTGTTTAATTCAGAAACAGAGGATGAGGACTTTGAGGGGTTTGATTAATACTCTGTAATAAATACATTAATAAAGCACAATCATACTCAGTTTTGCTCCCGCTCTATTTTTCTACCTGAAAACTTAATTCAACAGCAGCCTCTGGGCCGCGGGGCATACGGGCTCACCTCCGCAGGTGTTTTTTCATCTAAATAATCTAAATCTTTTTAAGTGAGAAAGTCCACCTGAAAATTTAATCATTGCAGTCAGTTCATCCAGATTATTATCCTGCCTATGTTTTAAGTTAATTTATGCCTCAATAAACTGTATCAGAGGAGTAATCACAGCCCTGTGTCATCAGCATGCCGGTTCCCAGGTTTGAATAATACTTTGTAATAAATACACCTTGCAGCTTTATTTGCTGTGATCAGTGGGAATAAAGTAGTTTTAATATGTTTTTAAGTGGGAAAATCCACCTGAGAGGACATGTACCTGTATATAAAAAACGCGCCCTATAGTCCGGTGCGCCTTATGTGTGTGTTAAATACAGAAATGGGACACATAACTGAGACTGCGCCTTTTAGTCCGGTGCGCCTTATGGTCGTGAAAATACGGTATATATATATATACACGATATACATGTGCACACTAACCACTGCGCCACCGAAGCACGCCCAAAGAGAAAATTGTTTTTAAAGAATATTTCTGCTCATTAATTAATCGTCAGTCGATGACCAGATCAATCAACTTTAGATTAATTCCAAATAGGGATTGAATTCTGGAAAACGAAGATGCTTTTTGGTGCAGAGATGGCTTCATACCGAGTCAAGCTCCTCCACCTTCTTCTTCAGCATGCCTGATATCATCCTGATGAGGCCCCAGTGCTTGAGGTCACCAGCCTTCTCATAAAGTTCGCTCAGCAGAGATTTGACTGTGGAGCCTTTCCCATGCAGCCCGGTGTCCCACTCCATACCTCTGAGAACACGCAGACAACAGGTTTAAACTGCAGATCTTCATACAGCCAGTCTGTTTTTCCTCATATGCTCTGCATATTTGACAAAGAAAAGTTATATCTTCTCAACTGTCATTTTTGTCCCACTTTTTTTCTTTTTCTGCAACTTTATATTGTTAAAACACTTTATAGTACAGTATTTGTTTTTTATCTTTTAACTCTTCACTATCATGTTATTATTATACATTTTTCTAAGGTGACCATTTTTTTTTTCTATAATCTTTTTGCTGCTATAAACACCAGAATGTCCCCATTTTGGGACAATAAAGGGATTTTCTATTCCATTCTATTCTATTCTATTCTAAAAGCTTTGGATGTCAAATCTCCGGACAGGGGCGGATCTAGTATTCTAGGAGATCGGGGGCTTAGCCCTGAGGGTGAAGACGAGAGACTTTCTGGTAAATCCCCTTCTAATGTAAAATATGACAGATTACTGGATTAAGGACATTTCTAGTATACTACATGCTATCACACATAATTTTTGAGAATTTGGAAACACTTGCTCTTTATTTCCCAAAGATATGGGAGGAGGAGAGAATGGATATTTCAGCTGCCTGAAATAATTGGTTCCCCCTCCATAACATGGGAAGAAATTAATTTACCTGCAAGTCTTTAACTGTGTTTATTCTTCTCTTCATTAACAACAAACCCTGTGGATTTGGTCACATTTGATCATTATTTGCCAAACTTATTAAACGGAGATCAGACATTTTAGCCACCTGATATTATCTGTTTCCACCATTATATGGGAAAAAATAAACAAATCCTGTGAATTTTGAAACTGAGATTTTTCTATATTATGTTTGAAACAGTGTTAATTTCATCAACCAGGACGATGACGAAAATATTTCGTTAACGCCCCTTTTTCCAGTGATGATGATGCACAAAAATTGTTTCCGGGAAATAAAAATATGACGTTAAAGCTACAGTGTGTAATTTTTAGCGACACCTAACGTCCAGACTGCAGACCGCAGCAACATGAACACACCCCCCAAACTAGCTATTGCGATCTCGCAATCACTAGTTTGTTGGCTCTGCGCTGCTGTAGCGCAAAGATGTCTGCCTCCATGGCTGCGAGACCCGCTCCTATGTAATTATAAATAACGAATTCTAAGGCAACGCAAATATTAAGGTTAAGAGGCTGAGCTCGTAGATGATGATAAATAACATAGTTATGTATACATTTCTGACTGTATATCCCTGTAATTATTACACACTGTAGCTTTAATAAACAATGATTTTCGTTAAAGACTAAGACCAGACGGAATTTACAAGCCATGGACAAATGGACATAAAAATATGTAATTGTTTATAATTAATTTGTAATTGTTAATAGAAGTGTTTCTTGAATGTCATAGATGATTACGTGTTGTTGCGCATTGTCCCTACATGGCGCCTGTCCCAGGGGGCAGTGCGCTGCTCAATCAGTAGTAACAGAGGGCTTATACTCCTAGGATCACTGGTAGCAGTTAACCGTTGCTAGCTTAACTTTGCAGTCATTGCGTTGGGCTCGGATACCGGTGTACGGTTTGTTGGAGGAGCTGGGCGAAAACAGGGCCTGGATGTATGGAGCCATCCTGTTTACAACGTGAAGGACAACAAAACAACCTGCATGATAATGATTGATCATGCCACCGATGCCGGTGGTGGCCAAGATGTGGAGACACCGGAGGAAGGACGCCAGCAAAGAGTCTGCGGCTTCAAAATGGCAGGGTAGAACACAACGAATCTCAAGAGACATCTGAGGTGCCAACATGCTGCCATGTGGAAGAAGGTAAGGAACGGGTGGGCCTGTCGGTACTCAAAGGCTAGTACCGCCTGTATGATCCATGACTATAATTTGACTCAGACTAAAATCGATCTTCATCATTTAGACTAAAACTAAGACTAAATTGGGAAGGCAATGACTAAATATGACTAAGACTAAAATTGATTTTTGTCATTGTGACTACGACTAAATTTAAAAAAGCTGACAAAATGAACACTGGTTTGAAACATTTAGTATGTTATATTTTGAAATCCAAAATAGTTAAAATAAATATGACTGTATGGAGAAGCATTGCTCCAGACATTTTGAATTGAGAAAACTTTGTGGATGGAAAACCAAACATCTTCAATCTCGGAAAAAAAAGTCCAGTGGTTTTTGTTTTTAACTTTTTTTGGAACATTTTTAAATTGTTAGATAAACATCTAAACAGAAAATAAATTTCATAGAGATCATCAAAGGGGGAATGGATTATTTCTGTCAGCTAAAATATATGATTCCCCTCCTTTAATTATGGTAAATAACGATTAAAAATAACCAAATCCACAGGGTTTGTTGTTGATAAAGAGAGGAATAAACACAGTTAAAGACTTGCAGGTAACTTAACGGAGGCGCTCAACAGCGATGAGGGGGGAAAACACTTCTTCTGCACCAGAATGCTACAGGCTTCTTTCCTGCAAATGCTGCCACCATCTGGTGAATTCCAGTACTGCACATTTTACTCAGATCAGCTCAGAAGCGAGATCCGGGACTCTTGGGGAAACACTCGGGCTTGTAGCCTAAGTAGATGCCCCCTAGATCCACCACTGTCTCCGGATATTCTAGACCAGACCTTAATATTATGAAGTTAGATTTTTACTCTTTACCTTTAGGAAAACAGGAGTTAGAGATTGAACATAAAACATGTGGAGATGTTTCCATCAACTCTTTATTACTAATCTTTTTTCGGAAACTGCAACACAGTCAATGCGATTGAGGCACAGAAGGTAGAAGCTAGGCATTTGTCGTGCTGATTTTGTTAATAGATTTTCTATTACCATACAGCCCACATGATCAAAACCCTCACTTGTCTTTGAAGAGGATGTAGAGTATGTCTGCCTGGTCCGGGAGGCTTTTCGTGTCTTTCAGCAGCTGCACCAGAGCATTGTAGTCGATGGCTCCGCTCTCGTCTCTGGGGATCCCGCTCTCCACGCTAATTGACACCTCAGAGCTCTGGAAAAGAGATGACAGGATGATGTGTTCAGGGTGAGGCAGATGTTTAAGAGCAGGCCGGGGAGAAGAAGAAAGAGAACCTGAGGCTCCTGTGGTTCAGAGGGGTCTGGGAGGTTCAGGTTGAGCGACGGCTGAGAAGAACGAAACAGCTTGCTCGGCAGGTACATGTTGACATCTGGACAGATCAAGAAATAAATCATTAGTACCTGGATTTGTTCAGAGGGTTTAGAAACAGCTTTTTTTGCTGCTGAATGAGCTGCTTACTTTGAATGTTCAGATCCTGAGCTTTGTTCATCAGGGAAACCATCTCTTTGGTTTTGGTGGCCACAGCTTTGAACCTTCCCAGGCCTCCCGCCTGACGCTTGGACTTCTTGGGGACAGAGTGCGCCAGCAGGTGGTCCAGATACTGAGCGAGGTCGTCCGCTTCTGAACGGAGGGGAAAATAAGAACGGAACAATCAACAACAGGCTTTGATAGGAAAAACGTGCAATTTTATAGGATCACGAAAAACCTAGAAAAAAAAAGACAAATATTTGACAAATATTTGACTGAAATTACACTAAATAACTGACAAGTCTGAAAGCAGTTTGTTATTCATTAGCGAGTCATTTATAAAGAGCGCGTTCACCTAAATGCACCACCAGAATCGTTTCTGAATATAAGAAAAGTGAGCTCAAAAGAAAAACATACTCAATTCCAATATGATGCATTTAGGAGCAAATGTAAGAAGCCGGCTTCTTAGAGCCCATGCTTGCAAAAATAAATCCTTATGCATGCTTAGGCAGGCCCAAACATTTTCATTCCAGCATGCGTTGCAACTTTATTGCAGCCAAAAGCAACATTTTTTCCAATCAATTCAAGCTGCCGTGCAAAAGTTCTTTAAAATGATGGACTGATTCAGAGTACGTGCTACCTCACCAAACCAACAATACCATTATCATCATCATCATGGTGAAACTCTCAACAGGAAGAGGGTCAGTGTACAAATGATGTAATGAAGTAGGAAAAGGTGATTAAAGCGATTCTGCAGGTTATTCAGGTTTATGACAGCTTTCCATTGGAAATTTAAAAACATTTTATTAAATTAATGGTCAGAGAAGTTAGTTTAATCCATAAAAGTCACAATGGCATCAATTTTATTTACCGTACTGTAATATTAGGAAACGTTAAAGAACAATTTCAAAATTTTATGACCAAGTTTTACACATTTTTATCCATGTTTAAAGCTACCTTAATTGTACTTAATCGTTTTTTTTTTACTACTTTTTAAAAGGAATGGTCAAACCAGCCGTGAAAACCCACTAAACGCCCCCTACTGGTGTAAATCTCCAATCCTCCCTGTTGCCCCCAGCTGGTGTCACCATTCCTCTCCATCATTTAGCCAAGCTCTCTTTATTCTTACCATCATCATTACGCAATTCATGCACGTATCCATCGCCGTCATCATCATCATCACCATAATGGTCGCCGTGCCGGCCCATGCTGCCGGAACCCTTACCGTCCAGGAAGCTGAGGTGAGCACAGCAGGAAGTGGTCAGGAACTCCGACAGTTTTCCAGTCTGGGTCCTTAGTGACAGGAAACAAAATAGTTTGATGTGAAAATGGTGAGAATAGAAATAGTATTAAAGAGATAGCTACACCTGTAGCTCCTCCCGGCCAGTAGGCGGCGCACCCGCACTGGCCTGCTCTCCTTAAAGTGTTTGATTGTACCGTTGGCAAGCCAGTTCTTTAGGTCCGAATGCTAATGCAAACGTTTCAGTTTGCTAATGCTAACCAAAGGTTGGTCTTTAGGTGTTCCCTGACCTTTGGTTAGCATTAGCAAACATTTACACATCCAGAGAAAAAGCAGGAACTTCTGTATGGCTTTTGAGCTCCTTTCCTTGTTTAAAACATGAAGTGATTACCAAGAAGCGCTCCACAAACAGGACCTTTTTGAAAAGCTGTTACTCTCCAAGTAGCTGGAAGACACATATACATTGAGGAAAATAAATATTTGAACACCCTGCTATGTTGCAAGTTCCCCTTCTAAGAAATCACGGAGGGGTCTGAAATTGTCATCATAGGTGTGTGAGACATAATCTTAAAAAAATAAAAATCCAGAAATCACAATGGATCATTTTTTGAACTATTCATTTGTATGAAACAGCAGCAAATAAATATTTGAACACCCGTGTATCAGCTAGAATTCTGACCTCAAAGACCTGTTAGTCTGCCTTCAAGATGTCCACCTCCACTCCATTTATTATCCTAAATTAAATGCACCTGTTTGAGTTAGTTAGCTGCATAAAGACACCTGTCCACCCCTTACAATCAGTAAGAATGCAACTACTATCATGGTCCAGACCAAAGAACTGTCCAAAGATACTAGAGACTAAATCGTACACCTCCACAAGACCGGAAAGCTCTACAGGGAAATTGCCAAGCAGCTTGGTGAAAAAAAGGTTCACTGTTGGAGCAATCATTAGAAAATGGAATCTCCCTCAGACTGGGGCTGAGGGAGATTGACCTTGTGGGAAAGGTGAGAAATCAGCCCAGAAATACACAGGGGGAGCTGGCCAATGACCTGAAAAGAGCTGGGACCACCGTTTCCATGGTTATTGTTGGTAATACACTAAGACATCAGGGTTTGAAATCACGCATGGCACGGATGGTTCCTTTGTTCAAAGCAGCACATGTCAAGGCCTGTCTTTAGTTGGCCAATGATCATCTGGATGATCCAGAAGAGTCATGGCAGAAAGTCATGTGGTCAGATGAGACAAAAATATATATTTTTGGTCATAATTCCACTGATCGTGTTTGGAGGAAGAAGAATGATGAGTACCATCCCAAGAAAACCATCCCTATTGTGAAGCATGGGGGTGGTAGCATCATGCTTTGGGGGTGTTTATCTGCACATGGGACAGGGTGACTGCACTGTATTAAGGAGAGGATGACCGGGCCATGGATTGCCAGATTTTGGTGAACAACCTCCTTCCCTCAGTTAGGGAACTGAAAATGGGTGGAGTCTGGGTCTTGCAACATGACAATGACCCGAAGCACACAGCCACGATAACCAAGGAGTGGCTCTGGAAGAAGCGTATCAAGGTTCTGGCGTGGCCTAGCCAGTCTCCAGACCTAAACTCAATAGAGAATCTTTGGTGGGAGCTAAAACTCAATTTTTCTCAGTGACAGCCCAGAAACCTGACTGATCTAGAGAAGATCTGTTTGGAGGAGTTGTAGCTATGACCTTCATAGGATAACATTATCATCATTATTATCATCCACCTTGCTCCTCCGTAATATCCATCCTGTAACTTCTTCAGGGTAGCCAAGACTGCAGGGTCCAGATCAGAACGGTCTTCAGCTGCAGGGAAAAAAAGCAAACAAAAACAAAAATAAAGCAGCTTTCACAAAGTATCTACAGGACTGTTTCTAACAAAGAAATCACAGCAGGGGAAGGAAACACCCACTCAGCATAGTCTGGGAGATGGGGAAGGTGACTGTTGGTCGTCCAGTTATCCTCCATCTAGACGAGAGGTAGGCGATCTCATTCCTCAGCATCTCCACAATCATCTTGTTGTCCAGAGCCAAGTAGAACTGCTGGTGGTCGATAAACTATTGTAGGTTTTAGCAGAGAGCAAATATAGACAGGATGAGAGGTGCTTCAGTGAAAACTTTAGTCACTTGAATCCAGAATAGGATAATACTCATTGCTTCTTGTTACCTGAGGTGTGAAAGCAAAGATGGTATTTCTGATGATGTAGAACTTGGACGTTCCGAGCACTCCTATTCTTCTGTAGGGTCGCCCCGTCAGACCTAGCCTTGGGTTGCGGCCTGAAATGGAGAGGGGGGAAATCAAGAAAGGTAGAAAGGATGAGGAAGGGTCCCAACCTTAAAGCTTTACAATCTGTACCCGAGGAAAAAAAGACTCTTATTTTGAAGTAAATAAGGAACCCCCCCGCCCCGCATTTATATCATTTTGCATCCCTTGTCAAAAAGAATAAATAGAAACAAAGATGAAATACTGAGTTTAAGCAACATGAGAACAGAGGCTTATTGTTAGCAATTAAATGCTAAGGTTAGCCTCCTAAAGATGCTAAAGTATAATTTTCACGGTTTTTTTTATAAAATATACTGCATCTGATCACTTTTAACCTAACCATCTCTATTACTGCCATCTAACATATTAGATTGAAGAGTCAAACATGGACTGGATTATTAAGAACAGATTTAAAAGTCGTAGGGCAGCAGCTCTTCCAACCGTTGCATTTCCGAATTCTCCCTAGTGGTGCCTGACTTTACAAGAGTGAATAAACTGAATGTGATTGGTCGTTTATCAAGAGGGCGGGATTGTTGTGGCGCAAGGTTCGCAAGCAAGTTTGATTTGGCCGTTGTCTCTGAAGCATCTTGCTAACCAGTTAGCAACTTAGTGCTAGTAGGTTCCCAATGGGAAATTCCATTGGGACCAAGTAGCACTAAATTGGTGACTTAGAAACGACACTGTCAAGGAACGCTATGGACAGAGGAAACATGCAAGAGGAAGAGAGTTTTGTGTCGGAGGTCGAGGATGAGTCTCCTCCGTCATACATTTTTTATTTAGAGGAGAAAAGCGGGACGAAGATGTTGTGGAAGAGGACACCAGGGCGGCAGAAGCTTGGTTTGGTGTAGAAGGCTTACAGCCGTACATGTTTGAGCCCTTGCCTCGCAACGCTGCCAGTTCTGTTAGCTCTACGCCTGCTGAAGACACAGACATCCATCCCCGTGAACACTGGGATGTAACTCAATGGGAAAGGAAATGATTCTCATTTCAACCCTTGAGGATATTAGCTGCGACATATGAATCAAGATGCTATGACTGAAAAAATTTGATTGACAGATGACGTTGATATAGGATTGGCCGAATTTAGGTGTTCAGGCTGACGTATAACTAACTGGCCTGCATAAGATAACGAACCCCCCCCTCCCCAACAGATCTTAAGACAGGATCTTTTTTTTTAAATAGAAATTTTCCAAAATTTTGAGACAATATCGTCTGCTAAAGAATACATTTATATACACGTTTAAAAGAATAGTACACCCAAAACATGATTAGCCTTCATTTTCTACTCACCCCCATGCTGAACAACACTCTGGAGTACTTTTTTGATATCTCAAATGCATCTGGAGATCTGGGAGGCTTCTTGCTGTCTGCTGACATTCAAATAATGGAGGTCTATTGTGCCCGAGGCAGAAAGGTCCATAAAATTCCACAAAAACGTTTCAATATTCCTCCATACTGCTCGTCCAATGTATTCCAAGTGTCCTGAGTGGGTAGCATCCAGAATGTACTCGAAACAAAGTCATTTAGAATGTTTTTAGAGCATTAACAGTAGTGTATAGGATTTCCTGAAAGCGCGCGCCTGCGAGTTCATGACGCTACGGAAGCCGGCAGACCAAACCAGATGAAAGTGCGCATTCAGCGTCTGCTCTGCCGATAATGCAAGCGTAGAAGAAGAAATGTGCTGTTTACCTGTGCAAAGAAAGAAACAACGAAAGAAAAATGTCTGAGGACTTCAGTGTTGAGGAAGAGCATGAGTTCTTTGCCGAGCTGAATGCGCTGGTTTGGTCTGCCGGCTTCCGTAGCGTCATGAACTTGCCGGCGCGCGCTTTCAGGAAATCCTATACACTACTGTTTATGTTCTAAAAACATTCTAAATGACTTCGTTTCGAGTAAATTCTGGATGCTACCCACTCAGGACACTTGGAATACATTGGACGAGCAGTATGGAGGAATATTGACACGTTTTTTCTGGACTTTTATGGACCTTTCTGCCTCGGGCACAATAGACCTCCATTATTTGAATGTCAGCAGACAGCAAGAAGCCTCCCAGATCTCCAGATGCATTTGAGATATCAAAAAAGTACTCCACAGTGTTGTTCAGCATGGGGGTGAGTAGAAAATGAAGGCTAATCATGTTTTGGGTGTACTATTCCTTTAAGCCAGAATGATTTGACATTCAAACATGATTTCCCTACGCCTTTAAGATTATTTAAAAGTTCATGATATATGAAGCTTTTAGTCTGCAACAAATAAAATGATTTTTAGCTTCCACTGCTTTTGATAAAAGAAGAAGAAATGGTCCAAAGGCGGTACCGAGCCTGGCGTAGATGTGGCTGAGGACCCTGGATGGTTGAACGTGGATGGGATGGATATCAGCCACCGTTTCCACGTTTATACCGTTCTTCATCAGCAGCTCCTTGATTTCCTCCGTCTCAGCCAAAACGGACACTAAGGAAGAGCAAACGTTTGACTTTTTCCTGTAATCTAATAAGCAATATTAAAAGTGATGCACCCTTGGCTTTGAACTCACCCTGAACAACTACATCAGGCTTGGGGACCGTTGAGAACCGTCGGTTAAGAGGGTCAATCTCTCCGGGGGCAAGAAAACCCTAAATGCAAACAGTTCATTAAACAAAAGAAATACATATTTAATACTTCTAATTTAAGTTTTTAGGAAGTCATTTTAACCACCTTATATAAACTTATTAAATGGGGAAAATTGCTAACTTAACCCTGCATATAATGTTTAAACATTTATCATTATCACATTTCTTAAGCCTCTGGCCATGAGGTGAGGTCAGCATGCTAGCTACCCTGACAGGAAAGTTAAGGAGGTGTTAAAATGGGAGGACGACCACATTGCTGCCATTAAGGAGCTCAAGTTTGGTTATGTGCTAAAAGGGAAGGAATACATTTGTTTAAGAAACAGATTAGTGTGACATTAATTACTCACTCTTGGTGTGTATAGAGAGGATAATATAATGATGCTATCAAAACTGTTTTGCTGTAAGTACAATTCAATTCCGTTTATTTGTATAGCGCCAATTTACAACGCACGTCATCTCCAGGCACATTAGAGTTCACCAGATCACACAGTCAAACTGATTCAAAGTTTTTTATCTAAGGAAACCAGTTGATTGCATCGACTCATTGACTTGAAGGCAATCCCTCACACTAAGCATGCTCGTGGAGAGGAAAAACTCACTTTTTAACAGGAAGAAACCTTCAGCAGAACCAGACAAATTCACATTTAGCCGTTTATGATATCATTGCAGGAGCAGCTCTTTCCTCTAATGCTTCAGAAACCTAAGACCATCATAATGTCCATCCATAGTCATCAAATCATCAGTCATCAAAAGCCATTTTTCAGAACCATAAGCTGCTGTTTTGAAACAATCCACAGAGGATTATTTATTTATTTTTTTAATATAAAGTTAACACAAACACTTCTTTTTTTTGCAGCAAACTTGAGCTTCAATCGTACTGTAACGTGCCCTAACAAATGGGTGTCATTTTTAATCTCTCATCCGGTGATGATGCATATTTATAGAGTGGAAGGATTCATTTTGTATATTATTATTCTCTTGCAGAGAGGAAAATTTTTCCTCTACACTTTATCAATCCATCCATCCATTTTCTATCATGCAAAATGTAACGTAAAAATAATAAAGATAAAACAAACCGCTATGAATAAGGACAGAAACGAGAACATGGATAATGGGGCCAGGAGACATCAGAGGACAATGCAGACGGAAAGAAGTGAGAACGGGGAACACAGCAGATTGTAATGACAGAGCAAACATTGTCACGTCTGCACATATTTCACATAGAAACAATGCATAAGCACACAAAACAAACATTTTACAGATAAAGTCACGACATGTACAGCTACCATTACAAAATAATGTCAGACACACACCTTACATGGACACAAACACCTTTTTGGCACAAAAGGAACCTCATACGGTTTCCTAACACTCTGCAGCCCCAATAAATTCGCCCTCTGCTCCCCTCAAGACATCTATGAAGCTGCCTTGTTGGTCGGATGATGAACTGTTACATACTGTATATCAAGGTCATTCACCCCAGGCTTCGTGGACATACTTTGCCCACATTGCTCAGATATGATACGCACCTCTCATCCTCCTCGATGTTCCTGCAAGATGTCACATTATCTGTGTTGGCTTTTGCTATGTGATGAGTTTTTTGTTTTTTTTTCCAATCTCAAACTGTATCCTGCTAAGGATAAAGTATGAAATATGTTTTTTTTCCTCCCCTCAGCAGTTGCAATTCCTTTCTGTGTGTCTTACTATACAGGTGCTGGTCATAAAATTAGAATATCATGAAAAAGTAGATTGATTTCAGTAATTCCATTTAAAAAGTGAAACTTGTATATTATATTCATACATTACATACAAACTCATATATTTCAGATGTTTATTTTGTTTAATTTTGATGATTACAAATGACAACAAATGAAAATCTCAAATTCATCATATCAGAAAATTAGAATATTACTGAAGACCAATAAAAACAAAGGATTTATAGAAATGTTGGCCAACTGAAAAGTATGAACATGAAAAGTATGAGCATGTACAGCACTCAGTATTTAGTTGGGCCTCCTTTGGCCTGTATTACTGCAGCAATGCGGCGTGGCATGGAGTCGATCAGTCTGTGGCACTGCTCAGGTGTTATGATAGCCCAGGTTGCTCTAATAGTGGCTTTTAGCTCTTCTGAATTGTTGGGTCTGGTGTATTGCATCTTCTTCTTCACAATACCCCATAGATTTTCTATGGGGTTAAGGTCAGGAGAGTTTGCTGGCCAATTAAGAACAGGGATACCATGGTCCTTCAACCAGGTACTGGTAGCTTTGGCACTGTGTGCAGGTGCCAAGTCCTGTTGGAAAATGAAATCTGCATCTCCAAAAAGTTGGTCAGCTGCAGGAAGCATGAAGTGCTCTAAAACTTCCTGGTATGTGGCTGCGTTGACCCTGGACCTCAGAAAACACAATGGACCAACACCAGCAGATGACATGGCACCCCAAACCATCACTGACTGTGGAAACTTTACACTGGACTTCAAGCAACGTGGATGAAGTGCCTCTCTTCTTTTCCTCCAGACTCTGGGACCTTGATTTCCAAAGGAAATGCAAAATTTACTTTCATCAGAGAACATGACTTTGGACCACTCACCAGCAGTCCAGTCCTGTTTCTCTTTAGACGCTTCTGACGCTGTCTGTGGTTCAAGAGTGGCTTGACACAAGGAATGCGACAGCAGAAACCCATGTCTTTCATACGTCTGTGTGTGGTGGTTCTTGAAGCACTCACTCCAGCTGCAGTCCACTCTTTGTGAATCTCCCCCACATTTTTGAAGGGGTTTTGTTTCACATTCCTCTCCAGGGTGCGGTTATCTCTCTTGCTTGTACACTTTTTTCGACCACATCTTTTCCTTCCCTTCGCCTCTCTATTAATGTGCTTGGACACTGAGCTCTGTGAACAGCCAGCCTCTTTAGCGATGACCTTTTGTGTCTTGCCCTCCTTGTGCAAGGTGTCGATGGTCGTCTTTTGGACAACTGTCAAGTCAGCAGTCTTCCCCATGATTGTGTAGCCTATAGAACTAGACTGAAAGACCATTTAAAGGCTTTTGCAGGTGGTTTGAGTTAATTAGCTGATTAGAGTGTGGCACCAGGGGCCATCAATTTTGAACCTTTTCACAATATTCTAATTTTCTGATATGATGAATTTGAGATTTTCATTTGTTGTCATTTGTAATCATCAAAATTAAACAAAATAAACATCTGAAATATATGAGTTTGTATGTAATGTATGAATATAATATACAAGTTTCACTTTTTAAATGGAATTACTGAAATCAATCTACTTTTTCATGATATTCTAATTTTATGACCAGCACCTGTAAGGGCAGCGCCTCTCTACAGCAGCAGGGCCTCGGACACTCCGTCCCCATGTCTGTGTGTTTTGTCTTTTCTTGGATGGGCTGTACCGAAACTAATAAAAAAATCTTCAATGTAATATAAATATCAAATCAAATTTGTGCAACACCAAGTTTCCTCTAATTCTGCTCCGTATTATTTCACAGCTGCTGGACTGTATTAGGAGCACTACTCTGAAATCCCAAATCTCTAAGAAAAAAAAAGTGTTTTTAAGCCTTTATTATTGTGTTGATGAGCAACAATAAGCAGCATTAGACAGAGTGAGGACGCACAATGCAGGTTTCCAGACGGAGTTAATTTTTCTAACCTCAGATAAAAGTTTTCCGAGGATGTAGAGGGATTGTCCCCACTTCAGGGGACATTTCCCCATCGGGATCCTTTCTACGGAGTGAGGGTTCATGTACTCTTCCTCCACCTGTTTGAACATCATAAAGGAGCACGTTTACAATCACATTAAGAGCAGCTTTGAGCTAAAGGTGGATTTGTAACCTTCTTAAAGATTGAAATTCTTCACCTTTTCTGGAGGGACGCTGTAGAGCTCTGGCAGCAGCCTGATCCCATCCTTCTGTTTGATCAGGATCCCCTCCAGCGCCTCCTGGTACTCCTGCACCTATTATAACAATAACACAGGTCTCGCCTTATTAAAGTTTGCAGGTGTTTGCTTTATGAATAGCATTCAGTCACACCACAGGACTCTGATTGGCTCTATTGCCGAGCTACTGTAAATCTGCAGCTGAATTTAGGATGAATCTCCAACCACAGGATTCAATTTAAGCTGATCATCTCACATCCAAGTCTAAAGTATTTCCCATAATTGTAATGTTATTTTCCATTTTTATTTTGGTGAAAGAAAAGTGAAAAATGTTTCATATTATGTGAATTTGTTGCCGTTTAACCACAGATGCAGAATGTTTGACATGTCTTTATTTCCTACAGCAGATTTAAACACAGAGATAAATTACCTGCTCATGGCTGTTGCTAAAAATGCCGTCCAGTATGAGATACGTCCAAAACAGAGGCCACTCGCACTCTATGTTCTCAAACAGCTTTAGCTCAGCCGACTCGTAATACAGCCTGTTTGGGTCCTTTATGGGGAGAAGGAGAAAAAGACCAGGTGAGAAGATTAAATTCCTCCACAACGTCCTTCTTCTCATCATTTAGCTGTAAAAATATCAATCTAGAATCCAGAGCAGCGCTGTGACCCGAGATATTACAACAGAATGGCATCCCCCTAAAAAAAAACAATATTTTTAAATCAAATTATCTTCTAAATGATCATTCATTATTTAAATCATCATTTTAAATGTATTTTTGTATTGTTAAATGGGAAATGTAATTATTTAATCAAGCCTTTTACAACTTAATTTTATAGTCAATGTTTAAATTATCTATTAGATACATAAATAAATGTTAAATATATTTTATTTAATGGAAGATTCACTGTTATGTATTATATGATATATTTTGGCCCTTCAATTACTCCAGGAATTTTATCATGATGATTGTGAACACCATCCATCTTGAACCACCGGGGGGCACCATATAGAATAGAATAAAATAGAATAGGACCACTAATCAGAAAAGTGAGACATTTAGAAAAAGTTTTCCCATTTAGTTTCTCAGATTCCTCCAGGAATATTTATTTTACTTCTCTGCCTGCGACTCTCTAGATGAGAAGTTTCCAAACTGTTCCAACTATTGGTAGAACAAACAAACACTTCTACAAATTCAACCATTAGTGTAATGATAATACAAACAACATTAATTAAAGTTGTTGCTTTCATCCATTTTTAAGTGATGCTTTCATATCTTTAAGCGCTTTACATAAATGTTTAAAGTAACTTTTATTATAGTAGCATCTGGTACATTGACATAAATAAATTTGTGCTGTAGAAGGAAATGCATTTATGTTTTTTTTTTGTTTCATAAATTAGATTACACTTTCTGAGAAGTCCCTACATAAAATCATACCTACATAAAAAAGCAGCCGGCATCATTCAAAGTTGATAAGATAAAATCACAGAGCTTTGTTCAGTTCATCCTCATCGTCTGACACTGGAGAGTAACGTAATATATAGTGGCAGAACATTTTAGGGGTATTCTTTGGATGGATGGACCTAAACAGAGAATAATTCTGGATGTAAAAGCAACCAGACGGCAGAAAAGAGCTCAAACTACAATAAATATTCATCTGCAGGACTTTAACATATTTAGAGTTTTAAATATCTCTAATATTTTCATTCTGAGTCAACAAACTGGTTTAAATTCCATTGTATGCGTTTGAGGGGCCTAGTCAAAGTATGGTATAACTAACAGATCATTCCTGGTAATATTTACACCAAGTGAAAAAACCCCATTTATTCATAAAAAAAAAAAAAAAAAAAAACAGATTCAAATGGGGTGAAATAAGAAGCACACCACACTTTTCAGATTTTAATAATGAATAACTATAGTTACTCATTATTTTCTCATTACTTTGCAGTTAGGTTCAAAAACCCCTTCTGTTCATATAAAATAAATCCTTTAAATTGTATTTAATTTTCTGGGTTTAACCAGACAAATAATATGCTATGCAAGCATCTTTGCTAGGTGCTTTATGGTGATATTTTAAATTTTCTTTACAAATAACTTCCCTGAAATTCCATAGCTTTGAAATGTTTAATTTTAAGGAGCTTTTATACATTTGTTAAGGATCTGTGAAGCTTTATCACAGATAAAAGACGACATTTTATCTGGTTTACAATTCTGTCAAAGCAGAAACATGAGGTAAAAACCTTCCCATTTAAAAATACAAACCTATACAAGCTCTTTTAAAAATAAATAAACTGTCAGACTTCCTGTTTTCTTCTTACTGGCCTGTGAGCCTGAACCTGTTTGGTATTCATGCAGCCTATTGCTGCTGGCAACTCCTCCCGAAATACTGACCAAAAAGAGAGGCTCAAACTGGACATCGTCCCACAAACCTGACCACTAAAGCACCCTGCAGATAATGAAAACCTCCCCAGCTTACAGTAATTTGATAATACGGTTTAAAAACATAATAAACAGTCACAAGGAGATTAAAAGAAAAAAAACAACACCAGTTCAGTTGGTTTCTTATCTGATGTAGCTGGATTATTTCCCAAGGACAAAATGACAGAATGTGTTTTCTTTTTTTTTTTACCTCTCGGGGAGTTTTGTGGCCGTCTCTTAGAAACCTGCAGCAGCCGTATCGACCCTGAAAACAAAAACAAAGAGCTAAAAAACACCTAAACAAGAAGGGGAAAAAATTATCTAGTGAATATAGCCAATTTTCACTAATGAAAAAAAGGTTACATTTGATTTATGGAACATTTTAAGGGATGGTACCTGAAGTTTGGAGATGATCTCCTCCTTGGTCATGTTGACTATGCTCATGTCCTCCACGGCGAAGGCGGGGTAGGTGAGGATGGCCAGGACTCCTGCGTCCACCTCCTTAGAGATGGATGCTCTGGGTAACATCGAAGTCAGGATGGACTGACGGCGGGAAAAGCGAGATACAAAGAGGGGAACATTAGGTTCAAGGATCACATGAGTAGGATTTAACGTACTGTAGGTGTGGGTTTACTTGGCAGTGCTGTATGTCATCAGCCAGAGCATGGACCACAGATCCAGGACCTCCTTTTGCTCCAAAAAGGTTAAGTTCATCCAGAGCCTCCAAAGCCGCCTGTTTAACAAACCAGTTATCAGTGCCTTGAGATCAGGTAAAACACACGTGTTTCCGCTTCCTCCAACTGCTATCCACTCCTAATGTCTTTGATTTTTTTTTTCAATAAATTTTTCTTTTTTTGTTCAATTTAAACTTGTACAACATTTGTTATTCTGTCAATGTCATTGTGCAAATAGAAGAAAAAAATCAACTCTTCAAAAATCAACAAAATTAATTTTGTATTTACTTCCATTTTTATTAAATTCTGAACACATTTAACTAATTTCATAAGGTATTCATTTATTGAATTGTGGCACTTTTCGCCCTCCATACATAAGAGGATTAGTCAGACTGATGTAAAATTAAAGTTATTGTTCCAATTGTAGTTAAACTTTTAAAGGGTAACTAAAAAACATCAACATAAACATGCGAGGCTGACATATAAGCACGGTGGTGGGGGGGTGGTGATGTGGGCTTTTTTTTTGGCTCCGCTATAAACCCAAGCATCCCTTTTTGTCAATAAGTTGGCAAATAAATCCATTTTAATACAAATGTATCTATGTGAAAGTGAACCTTAAAACAACTGGCATTAGGAAAAGATATTATCTTTTTATAAGTTAACCCGCAGCAGTGCTGTCGGGTTTATTCTCCTTATCTGTCTTATTTAAACCTGTTCCCCTTACAGGTGTCAACACTGCTAATTAAAATCTGTCTCAGGACAAGATTTGACTTTTTTTCCTACAGATTTATGCTCCTATTAATGGAAACAAAATTGCAGGAGTAACACTGAAGAAGAAAAAATTTTACTTTTTTAATCCCATTCCTCTATAATTTTTTTTAAAGAAAAGTTAAAAAATGAATCACTACTTTTCATTATAAGAACAGGGAACCGACCTCTGTGAACATCTTCCTCCACAATTAACTTATTAGTGTCCTCAGCAGTGTCACGTTTCAATATTCCTACTTTAAGAAACTATTTTTAGAAGAGGGGTTCCCTAAGTGGGGGTAGGGTTCCCCCAGGGGTCACGAGACACCAAGATGGAGGTAGTGAGATGGTTTTCACAATAATTGTGCTGTGATCCTTGAGGCATATGGAGGGCAAAAACATACACTTAAATACATACGAAAATAAAAGTACCATCAAATAAGTACAGGGTTCCTATAGATTAGTGTTGCGCCGATGCCATTTTTTGGCCCCGATACCGATACCCGATACCCGGCTGTGCAGTATCGGCCGATACCGATACCATAATAAATGTAAAATTATTGCCATCATATCTTTGTCGAGCTGCTGCCTACCTTTGTGATGCAGGAAAAAATCTAATATAAAGTGAATCCAGTAGAACTTTTTATTGCCTACCTGGAATGGGTGACAATAGTTGAATAAACTTATGGCTCTCAAAATGGTAACGGCAGTGTTGTGAAAGTTCTCTTTCTACGTGAACTAGTTCAAAGTTCAGTTCACACATTTTAAAATTAACTAGTTCAGTTCATAGTTCATAATTCAAAATTTTGAACTAAGTTCACAGTTCCAAAAAATGAACTAGTTCATAGTTCTTTTTTTTTTTTTTTCATATATTGCTCAATTACATCATAGCCTACTGTAGAACCACAGGCAGCAATTATTTTATCAGTTGTAACACTGAAACTGTGCGTCAGATTTCATCTTCATATCCAGTTTTGAATCCTTATCCAACCAGGGTTTACATTAGCATTGAGGGGACAGCATTTCCCCATTGTTGCTTTAATGCTTTGTTGCTGTCCATTCACTTCACACTAGTAGCAGCTGCAGCTTTCACCCCTACAGTATATTCTCAAAAACATCAGGAAAAATGTGCTGCTTGAATGGTCTTTTTTATGAGGAATTATTAAAAGAAAAATAGGAAAGTAGTCTTTAAGGTGCAAATGTTTTTTTTTTTTTTTTTTAATAATTTTTTCCATTTTAAATTTCATTTCAGTACATACTAAAAAGGAATCCTGGAAAATTATACCAGGCAGTTTTAAGTGCGGATTTTTTTTACTGAAAGCCGGCGGGCAAAGTTTACAGAGAAATGTCAGATTATTTCCATCATCCTCACCGACCACCTGGTCATAAACCTGTTTACATGATCATACTGCTGCTTTGTCGCCTCCACGGTAGCCTCCATGCTGCTGTGGCTTCCACGCTGCATTTTGTTTTGATGACGCACGCGGCTGTAGGCTACGAAACTGGTAGCTGGTGTTGCCAGATTGGGTGTTTTTCCGCTACATATTAAGGCCTGTTTACGGTGTGATTTAGCCGGGGTTTCGCTTGGAGGGCTCTATAGAAATCTGGCAACCTGTTGAACGGAGCTGAACTGAGAGAGCGTGCCGTTCACAGACACCAGAATGAACGAGTTCACAATAACGTTCATCAGGCAGTAATACAGTACGTTCAGTTCACGTTCGCCCAAAATATGAACGAGTTCATGAACTTTCGTTCAATGAACGCGTTCAGGCACAACACTGGGTATCGGTGCCCTATTTGTTGGTACTCGCCGATACCGATACCACCATTTTAGGGCAGTATCGGGGCCCCGTCCGATACTGGTATCGGTATCGGTGCAACACTACTATAGATCCTTGCAAAATGTTTCTGAACTAAATTTCTCTAGCAGTGGGGTAAATACTGCCACACATGGTCCTTGGATTTCAAAAAATCCTGGAAAGTTCTGGAATTTGGTGTTATCCCTACTGTGGAAACCTTGTAAATTTCATTCCAGTACTTAATATATAATATTAAATCCTAACATAATCGACTATATCCAATTAAGTAACAAACTAACATGATGAATTTAACAATTAAAATTTGTTTAGAAAAAAATATTATTACTTCCCTTTATACATATGAATAAAAGAAAGTGAAGTAATACATTGAATATGTATTTTTTGGGGGACTCTGTTTGTTGTGCTGTTATTATTGATATAAAAGGGAAAAAGAGTTGAGAAAATCTGCTGTAGAATATGTATATTTCTTTAATATTACCACAAAAGAAGTAATATTTTCTGAATAAATTTAACACCTATCCATGAGTCAATTCTGTCCAATTGCACATACATTTCTTTTTAGTTATTTACTACACCAAAAAGAAATGCTCAGGCCTGAAGTGACAAAAATCTGGGTTTTTTTGGCCCATATGCGACCTGGATCAGATCTTTTCATGGCAATCTGAACAACACAGATCCGAATTTTTTCCCATGCGGCCCAGGCCACATGGCTATGTGGTCCTGAATCCGATATGAATCTGGTCTTTTCAAATGTGACCTGTGTCTGAACGGCCAGGTCGCATTCATCCGACCCGAATGACATTAATAGTCAAAGGTCACTATTCTGCGTCTTGCTACGCACAAGCGGGAGGAGAAACAACAAACATGGTGGACGATAATGCGGAGGTCAGTCTTCTCTTTTTAAACCATCTTGAAAAGATTGAGTTTTAAAGGTTGGCAAAGATCGCCCGACGCACTGCGGCGCCACCATCCATGTTTACTTCCTTAAAAACACAGAGCATGCTTGCTTGTGACATCATTGCGTCCTCTACTGTGCATGCAGGACACTCGCGTTGTATGAATGCAGTTCATGCAGGAGATCACATACAAGTCGCATTTATTTGGAAATACAAAAAAAAATTGGATCTCACAAAAATTTTTTTATTGAGCATTAACACCTGCAGTGTGAACATCAGGGGTGAGTATTGGCATGGGAGCTTCGATACGATATGCGTCACGATACAATATTATCATGATATTACAGTATTGCTATATATTGCGATATTTTCCCCAGCTTTTAAAATTGCATGTATAGATAAAAAAGCAAAGGCCATATAGCGCCATCTACCAGTGTGGGGGTGCAGAGGTAGCCAAATTTCTCTCCTTGTTTCAGTTAAAATGTTTTGTTTTTAAATCGGTATTAGGAACTGAAAAAATTGATATATCGGGCAGCCAAAAATCTCGACATATCATGAAATAGATATTTTTTACTAAGATATAGTTTAAACTTTTGCTTAAAAATTTCATTCAGTTCTCTAATAAATCATCAATATTGTTCTAACAAATTCCTCTCTTTGAATATCTTCATTTATTGATGATTTTACTCCTCTTCAATCGGAGGAATCTTGCTGCATTGCTGGACCACAGCCCAACCGCTGTGGCTCTGACTCGAAGGTGAATGCCTAAATTAAACCGAGTGTGTGTGCAGACTGCAGTCAGAACTTTGCGTCCCGTGATATTTCTGTGTAGGAGAACCTGATACCTCCCTGCTCGGTGTCGGCCAAGGACAGCTTCAGAGTGAGAGGGGCAGAGGGTATGAGGGTGAAACTACAACTAAAGCACAATGATCGGCTCTGTGAGGACATTTAAGGATTCCTTCATTATAAAAAGGAGAAGCGTTATGAAGCAGAGATCTTCTCAGCTTCTTCTGTTTTTGGTTTGCTTCCACAAACTAAATTCAACTGTCAAAACGAAGCCGTCTCATCTGATCCAGAGTCAGTTTGTAGAGGCTGGGTCACCTAAATGTCAGCGTAAAGGCCGCTGGAGTGACTGAGCAATAACCCACGGAGCCAAACATATTCCCAGGCACACCTGTTCTGCTTTTAGCGTAACTTATGTGACTCTACGAACTAACCTTAGCGGTGCCTATGGAGCTGGCGTTCAGCTCTGTGATGCCTTGGTTGGTTTTGTCTCCTCTCTCCCACATCCCATAATCCTGGAGGAGACCAGAAAAGAAGGTAGACACTCAGGATAGACTCAGTAGTTCAACAAGAGGTGAAGCAGCCGGAAGGAAGCAACACTCACAGCCACTTTGTAGGACGCCTCGATGTAGAACATGAGATTCTGAACCACGTCCACTTCGTCTTGAGTGTAGATGATATGAAGGCCTAGAACATCAACATGAAGGGAAATCAAAGCACATTCAGGCATTGGGTTTAAGTTCAGGGTCTAAATAGGGTGAGGTTCAACGCTGCACCTGAGGCAGTCATCTGAGCCAGGAAGAGCAAGAACAGAGAGGTGGCGTCCACCTGCAGGTGGCCCCACTGGTCGTCCCCGACGACGGTGGCGCAGGTCCTGGTGTTGTACTTGGCGTGGAGCGAGTCCTTGGTGCTCCGGCTGTATTTAAACTTCTCTATCTTGTCCATCTGTGGGAGAAAATAAAGGAACCGTTAAGGTTTCCAGATAATGTCTGACGGTGCATCAGAAATGGTAGAACAATCATTTTCTTTATTACCAAAGTATGGATGATCTTACCTGCCTCATTATACACTGGAGCACACCCCTCATCAGCTTCACCACACTCTATAGAAGCAAAGAGGGTTAAATGTCAAAAGGACTTTATGCACACCTCTTTAAAAACATAGAAGAGAGCCAACATACATGTCCCTCCACCCACCTGCTCCAGCTCGTAGGCCTTGGCCTTGTCCTCATCGCGGTCCGCGTTCTTCCTGTAGGCCAGACTGAGGGCCCAAACGGACACAATGCTGTAGACATTGTCCCTGACCCAGGCGTCAGGATGGTCACTGCTCCCTGGAAGAAGGCCGGTCACTGGATCCTGTGAAACACACATTAATCACTCACTACAGTAGAAACAGACAGTTTCTCGTCTAGATCAAATTTTCTATGTTGTATCTAGAGGCAACGGACATATTGAAGCCAAACAATGAAACCAGGCGGTAAAAAATAAGACAGGAACGTCATGGGGAAAAAAAGTTCCTCTGATTTTTTAAAATTATTATAAACTGAAGGGAGGAAAAGTTTATTGTTTGACACGTTTAGGAATGAGACAATTTTAAGGTTCTTTTTGGAATGAAAATGTTAGACGGGTAAAAACAAAGCAAAGTGAAGTGGAAAATTAAGGGAAAGGACTAGACCGAAATTATTACTGTCTCAAAGGGGTCATAGAATGCAAAACAGAGTTAGACCAGGGGTCAGCAACCCGCAGCTGCGGGCTCTTTAGCGCCCCCTTGCGGCTCCCTGGAGCTTTTAAAAAATTTTATAAAAATCGATTTTTTTTTTTGTTTGTTTGTTTTAATATGGTGTGCAGGAGGTCAAACAAAAATTACTTATGTTTTCCAATCCTGCAAACATTTGTATATTTAATAAATTTAAACAATAATTTGTGTCATAGCCATAGAGATCAGTGGTCATATCTTGTAACCAGGCAGCGCGGTGCCAGGAAAACAAAGCTGCAGGTGTGTCTGGGACCATCGATTCCAAAGAGAGAAAAGGAAGATAGCTGATGAGAAGAGGATTCAAAGAATGAAGCGAATCATCTGCATTTTTGCTTTGGAAAGGCATTTCCGGGGGAAGGCTAAATATGCAGTCGGCCACAAAGTGAGAGAAAAACTGCAATTGCAGAACTTCTGGAAAAATTAGAGCAGCGCAAAGATAGATTTAAGAAATGGATTGCATCTCCAAACTCCACTACTGCTGCTAGTTTGGTTGCAAGCATAGAAAACCGTTCACAGATCAAACAGGTAGCCTCTGATGCAGGGATGGGAACTTTCTTCCATTTTTCCCCAAATCCTTAAAATATAAATCACACCAAGGAACGATGGTGATGTGGGATTTCAGGGTTAGAGAGCTCTGCTCTGATGGATGTCAGTTCCTGCTTGGTTCCTCATGACTCAATCAACTCCTCCCAACAGAAACACGTCCAGCATAGAAAGATTCCTTTATCGTGTTTCTATAATTTCATCAATGCAACAAAACCTAAACCGCGCAGTGAAGGCGTTCACCGCTCCTCCCTCACCTCATGCTGCTATGTGACATTTTCTCCAGGATAAACATTAAATCATGAATGCTTATTATATATTTAAGCCTAAATAGTCCTTTTCTATAGTGGGATAAAACACTTAGAGCCTGTGTTACCATACGAGGATTATATAAGACTTTGACATTTTTGCAGCTCCAGACAGATTTTTTTGTTTGTTTTTTTGGTCCATTATGGCTCTTTGAGCAGTTTGGGTTGCCGACCCCTGCTATAGACCCTCTTATCTTCCTGTTGTAACAGGGTTAAACTATGCGGCTGCTTTTCTCAAGCGTTGCTGTTCCACAGCTCAATTGCCTAAAATGGAAGTCAGCTCTTTCTGCACCAAGGCAGCTTTTGTTACACAGAGGACTGTCACACATTGATGCTAGCAGCCAGGATGCACAGATGTGCCTCAGTAAGGTCAACATGTTGGGTTTTTAAAAGGTAAAACAGGCCGATTGAAAACATAAAGTGAGATACAAAGCAATGAGGATCAAAAAACCACCAGAAATAATGGCCACTCTTAGCTCTTTGCTCTATTTGAGCAGTGAAGTGGACACAAGTATCATAACAGAGCTGTTTGTTCCTGGTTCAAAAACTGTCCTAACACCCAGTTTACCCCAGTTCCTCCTGTTTCAGACAAAACAGAGGGTGATTCAGCTAAAAACATTCACATCCAACCCTGTTCAGCTCAGAACATACCTAAAGTACACGCTACATCCTTATCCATCTGTTTTATTGACATTAAACTAGCTATACTAACTGAACCATCTGTTCTAATGTGATCAGCAGCATTTATTAGGTATGTCTCTTAAAGCCCTAAACATTTTACCTTTTCAAAAATCCAAATCGTTGCCAGGCTTAAATGCACGTTTTTCAGTTTTAATCTTGAAAGAAAACATCTGAAAAATCATTGCCAGTTTTATTTACCGCAGGCTTCAGAAACTTTGGCTCAAATATTGAGTAACTGGTTTTCTATTTTTTTTATTTTTCTCTCCAAAGTCAAATCAGTTCCACTTAAAAAATGCGACAAGTTCTTTAAAGTAGTCTGGGAGTGAGCTGGGAGCTGACAGGGAGACAGACACAGCACTGCTGATCACTCCTCTGAAAGAGTTATAAACGCCTAAATCAACTTAAAATGTTGGAACCTGCCAGCAAAATGTGTTTGATTTTATTACTCTGATGCCTGTAGTTTGGATTACAGGTACGTACGTGAAAAACGCTAACATTTACTTCCAGCTGCCGCGAACAGTAGCGGAAAAACGCAAATAGACGACCGGGCCAGAGGCTTCTGTTGAAGGAGATTCCTAGTGGCAGAGCGCCGTGCACTGTGTACGGCGGTCTGAGCGGCTCCGACAGCAAAATATTATTTGAAGGCCGTAGTTAGTAGGATTATAGGATCGCCGTAGGATCATAATCTTGATGAACTGACCGCACAGACGAAGTTTTCAGGGGGACTTTCTCACTTAAAAACATATTAAAACTACTTTTTACCCACTTTAAACAGTAAATATATCAGAGCTGCTCTCTGCCATTGAAGATAGGAGCAGAAGCATCAGACGCATCTGGAGCTGTAGTGGGAAAAAAGTATTCAATTATTCACCCCAGTTAAATAAATGGAGATTGATGGATTTCACTGTCGGCACTTTATTTATGATATCTTTGCAAAGAGAGAACAGTTCATCATGCGGCCCTTACGGCCAGTGTTGGGAAAGTTCTCTTTCTACGTGAACTAGTTCAAAGTTCAGTTCACACATTTTAAAATGAACTAGTTCAGTTCATAATTCAAAATTTTGAACTAGTTTATAGTTCTTTTTTTTTTTTCACATATTGCTCAATTACATCATAGCCTACTGTAGAACCACAGACAGCAATTATTTTATCAGTTGTAACACTGAAACTGTGCGTCAGATTTCATCTTCATATCCAGTTTTGAATCCTTATCCAACCAGGGTTTACATTAGCATTGAGGGGACAGCATTTCCCCATTATTGCTGTAAATTCACTTCAGACTAGAAGCAGCTGCAGCTTTCCCCCCTACAGTATATTCTCAAAAAACATCAGGAACAATGTGCTGCTTGAATGGTCTTTTTTATGAGGAATTATTAAAAGAAAAACAGGAAAGTAGTCTTTAAGGTGCAAATGTTTTTTAAATTTTAATTTTTTCAATTTGAAATTATATTTCAGTACATACTAAAAAGGAATCCTGGAATCCTGGAAAATTATACCAGGCAGGTTTAAGAAACAAGTAACATGAATAGTAAAACCCTCAAGAACATTTTACTAACAGAAACTGAGGGACCAGGCTGAGGTAGGAATTTAAGGTTACTAAAGTGCGGATTTTTTTACTGAAAGCCGGCGGGCAAAGTTTGCAGAGAAATGTCAGATTGTTTCCATCATCCTCACCGACCACCTGGTCATAAACCTGTTTACGTGATCATACTGCTGCTTTGCCGCCTCCACGGTCTTCTCCATGCTGCTGTGGCTTCCACGCTGCATTTTGTTTTGATGACGCACGCGGCTGTAGGCTACGAAACTGGTAGCTGGTGTTGCCAGATTGGGTGTTTTTCCGCTACATATTAAGGCCTGTTTACGGTGTGATTTAGCCGGGGTTTCGCCCGGAGGGCTTTAGAGAAATTTGGCAACCTATTGAACGGAGCTGAACTGAGAGAGCGTGCCGTTCACAGACACCAGAATGAACGAGTTCACAAAAACGTTCATCAGGCAGTAATACAGTGCGTTCAGTTCACGTTTGCCCAAAATATGAACGAGTTCATGAACTTTCGTTCAATGAACGCGTTCAGGCACAACACTGCTTAAGGCACAGTATTCAGCCCTGTTCTGACTAGACATGAGTTTGTCTCCCTTACTTATGTTGAGGTTGTGTCAGAGTCAAAACAAATAACACACGCTTTAACAAACCTCGAGAAGGAATTTGGCTTGTTGTGGAAACAAGTATGTTTTGTCTAAAACCGCCTCTCACTCAGACATCTTCTCAGCCTTACAGGTGAAACAAACTGAGTAAAAACATTTTTCACTGGATAAATAGCATACCTTAATATATTAGACAAGAGAAATCTAAATTTTCCGACCACAACACACTTTACTGGACGCACTTCAGGAGCGTCAAAGGTGCACATCTGACCTGAATGTGTACAAGCATAAAAAAATGAAGCAGCAGAAGGTTTTTTTCTCCAGCTCTTGCGATCTGAAAGTAGCATTTTGTTTAGCATACGCCTGCCTCAGATCAACAGTTTAATAATAATGGCTCCACTTATAACCTTGATTAAAAGTGGTCTAGTGTATAAAAAAAAACAAAAAAGTAACATGGCAGTTTTAAAACTACCATGATAATGGTAACTTAAATGTAGAATTAATACAGGAAATGGAAGAAAACAATGGACTGAAACTTATAAATGTTTATAAAATAAAGCCATTTCTATACTAGTCAGGAGTCTAGAGCAGAGGTTACCAACTTTTTGGCTTCTGACCCAAAAAAAAAAAGTTAAGAGAAAGGTCAAACAACCCAAACTTTTGGGAAATATACCAAAACCTCTAAAAACCCTTTTAAACCTTAGATATAGTAGTAATAAAAGCAGCACAAACAACCAATTCCCCTGATCCAGGTGAAGCGAGTGCTTCAGGAGCTGGAGGCAGTAGCAGCAGCTCAACAACAACTGATGGGGTGAAGCCCAGGCAACAGGTCCCTAATGCTCCAGCATCAGATCCTCTTCCACCAGGGGAAAAATCCCATTTGGATGCTAAGATCCTATCCAGATCCGTCTGACATCACTGCTGCC